CTTTTATGGGCCCGGCCCAGCCCAGGCCCCGCCTCCGACGCAGACCCCGCCTCCCCCGACACTCCCCCGCGTTGGTCGAGGGCGAAACGTCGTGGGGGTAGGGGGACAGTATCCCGGGCTCCAAGTGCGGCTGCGCGACGCGGGCGCAGGGCGTGTCCGCGTTTCCTCGCACGCGCCTGCGCTTTGCGGCGCATGGGTTCCTGGCACGGAACCTGGTCAGCGTGGCCGGATCAGGGGTTCCCCGGAGACCTGTGGGGCCTTGGAATTGAGTCGAGGCCTGGGATGCATTAACTCCTTTGCGCGAAGCCCCTGCTCTAGAACCTACCGTGGTCAGGAAACAGCGCCGCCCCAGCTGCCCCCTCGCGCACCACCAACGCGCTTCGAGGCCCAGACGCTCCCTCCTCTTGGTGCTGAGGGACCAGCCACCACCACCTGCTTCTTGACCCAGCTGGGCCACCCATGCTCAAGGAGCAGGGGGCACCCCAAAGAGTTAGACCTGTGCTTGGTAGGACCCAGAGCAGGGGGCGGGGACTGAGATCTGTGAAGAACCCTTCCTCCACTCAGGGACAGCTTTTCGGGGAGAACTTTGGAACCTCAGACTGCAGAAGAGCCCGAGGGGTCAAGGGAGGCCAGGGCAGTGGGTACTACCGAATTCCACCCTGTCTGGGGTCCCCAAACCAGATTTGGACAGAAGGAATCAGCACCTCTTGAGGTGGACCAGCTCTCCATACCTCCCCACCAGGCCCCATGCCTTGAGCACACAGGGTTCACTTGCTGGAGGGAATGTTTTTTCTGTTATCCAAGCCCCAGTTTTTTACTAGAACCTTCCTACAGCCCAGAACCAGTCCCCCAACCAGAATATGAGCTTGGAGAGGCTGGAGACCTAATGACCTGAAGCCAGTCTGGCCCCTTCCCCTGTTGGGCAGCCTCTGTTTACTTGCTGCCCCAGGGATAGCACTCAGGCCACAAGGGCTGGGGGATGCTGGGAGGGACCTGCAGGGATTTCCCTAGCTAGACCTCAGCTCTTGGTGTTTCTATGAGTCTTGGCAATAGAGGGGCAGACAATCATGAGCCCCCAGCCTACTCCCTTCTTGGATATGTGTGTGTGAAGACCCACACACCTTGGCTTCAGGTGCCTTGAGGGGTGGGGAGCTACTAGACCTGCCTGCCCAGGAGAGACCTCAGGCTTCTCCTCCTCCCCACACTCTCATTTGGCCGTCCCTCTTCACTACCAATGTGCAAGTAGTATACCTGAGGCTCTGTTGTGCAGGGGGCAGGCTTTGCTTTAATGTGCACTTTCCCCATGGTGAGAACAAGTACAGAGGGCCCTGACCCTCCCCCAGAATGTCAGCATCAGCTCTGTCAGCTCTCTGACAGCACAGATCTCTCCACTGCTGTGTGCAGTGCCCTGACTTGGTGCACATGGGGGTGCTGCCCAAATAGTGATTAAAAGAAAGGACGTGATGTTTGACTGTATGTGTGTGTGCACAACCAGTGTGAGTGTAGGAGCTTCCTATGGTTGCCATAACAAAGGACCAAAAATGGGGCAGGGAGCTCAAAATAAGAGATTTATAGAAATTTATGTTCTTAGGGCGGCGTCTGTAGCTCAGTGAGTAGGGTGCTGGCTCCATATATCAAGGGTAATGGATTCTAACCTGGCCCTGGCCAAACTGCAAACAAACAAAAAGAGAAAGAAATTTATGTTCTTAAAGTCCTAGAGGACAGAGGTCTGCAATCAAGGTGTGGAGCTTCCTCCAGAGGTTTTAGGGGAGGATCTTTTCTGCCTCTTTGCGCTTCTGGGAAGTCCAGGTTCACTGAGCTTATGGCCACATCACTCTAATATCTGCCTCTGGCTTCAAGTGTCTCTGTGTCTTTCTGTCACCCTGAGTAGAGTGCTATGGCATCATAATTGGCAGCACCCTTAAACTCTTAGGCCTTAGCAATCCTCTTGCCTCAGCCTCCCCAATAGCTGGGACTACAGGTGTGCACCACTGTGCCCAGCTAATTTGTCTATTTTTAGTAGAATTGGGGGTCTTGCTCTTATTCAAGCTGGTCTTGAGCTCCTGAGCTCAAACAATCCATCCACCTTGGCCTCCCTTCCAGGGTGCTAGAATTACAGGCTTGAGCCACTGCACTGGCCTCCTCTTCTCATAAGGACACTGGATCTTAGATTAGGGCTCACCTTCCTCCAGTGTGATCTCATCCTACCTTCCTTATGTCTGCAAAGACCATGTTTTCAAATAGGGTCCTAGTCCCAGGTACCTGGGATAGCATGTGGACAGACTTATCTGGCAGATACAACTCAGTCCACATCAATATGTAGAAACCTTTTCCTGGCCTGTAGCTATTGTGCCAAATTCCTGATGAGGTATTGAGCTATGTTCGTCCTCACATGGGGACCCGTCTGTGTTGACTGCAAGACACAGACTTCAGCTGCAGCTGAGGTCGCTCCAGCACCTTGCTTTAGGTCTAGCCAAGCTCAGGTGCTGAGGAGGAAAGCCTGATTCAAGAGCCTGACTGGAGGGGAAAGACTTGTCCCCACAGCTGGAGCCAAGCCCTGTGCTGGTCCCTCTTCCACAGCCTCAGCACAGGGTTCCCTTGAGGAATCCTTGTTGCAGGTGGGGAAACTAGGGAAGCTCAGAGATGGGAAGGTGGGAAGGTGGCCCCTGGATCTAGGGTGCTTCCACCAAAGGTCTCTCCTCTTGGCACTGTGAACACAGGCCAAGATCATCCTCTGGGGTGGGGCTTTCCTGGACACTGCCCATGCTAAGTAGCATCCCTAGCCTTTACCCACTCCATGCTAGGAAACCCCTACAACAATAAATGTCCCGGCTCAGCGCCTGTGGCTCAAGTGGCTAAGGCGCCAGCCACATAAACCTAAGGTGGCAGGTTCGAATCCAGCCCAGGCCCGCCAAACAACAATGATGGCTGCAACCAAAAAATAGCTGGGC